AGCTAAAGCTGAGCTAACGCTAAGCTAAAGCTAAGCTAACTCTAAGCTAGACGCTAAGCTAAACGCTAAGCTAAACGCTAAGCTGACGCTAAGCTGAAGCTAAGCTGAAGCTAAGCTGAAGCTAAGCTAAAGCTAAGCTAAAGCTAAGCTAACACTAAGCTGAAGCTAAGCTAACACTAAGCTGACGCTAAGCTAAAGCTAAGCTAAATCTAAGCTAACACTAAGCTGAAGCTAAGCTAAAGCTGAGCGAAAGCTAAGCTAAAGCTAAGCTAAAGCTAAGCTAAGGCTAAGCTAACACTAAGCTAAAGCTAAGCTAAAGCTAAGCTAACACTAAGCTAAAGCTAAGCTAAAGCTAAGCTACAGCTAAGCTATCAATAAGCTGAAGCTAAGCTAAAGCTAAGCTAAAGCTAAGCTAAAGCTAAGCTAACACTAAGCTAAAGCTAAGCTAACGCTAAGCCAAAACTACAGCTAAAGCTAAGCTAAAGCTAAGCTAAAGCTAAGCTAAAGCTAAGCTAAAGCTAAAGCTAAGGCTGAAGCTCCCAGGGGACTGGGGGAACCGCGGGGCGGGGACTCGGGGAACCGCCCGTGGCGGTTAGCACTGCCTGGCCCTTTAAGCAAAGAGAGTAAGAGCCCTTCCAGGCAGAGCCTAGGTAGGGAAAAACCACAAACAATACAACAACACAGCAATTTCCAGTCTTTCATTGCTTCCCAGACCAAAGCGACCAACACAACCATGCATAAGCAGCGTTTCCTTGCGCCGTGGGTGCCTAACGCTGTGTCGTCTTGATTATGTGTTGTTTCAAAGATGAGGAACCAGAGCAACACAACATCGATAATACACAGCGATTGGCGCCCTCGTTGCAATGACATGCTGTGTATGTTTTGGTGTTTTCCCTACCCAGACTCTGCCTAGAAGGGTTCTTACTCTCTTAGCTTAAAGGGGCCGGGCAGTGCAACACGCCCCGGGCGGTTCCCCCAGTCCCCTGGGAGCGGTTCCCCCCAGTCCCCTGGGAGCTTTAGCTTTAGCTTTAGCTTTAGCTTAGCTTTAGCTTAGCTGTAGCTTAGCTGTAGCTTAGCTTTAGCTTAGCGTTTCGCTTAGCTTTTTGCTTAGCGTTTAGCTTAGCTTTAGCTTAGCTTGAGATTAGCTTTAGCTTAGCTTCAGCTTAGCTTCAGCTTAGCTTTAGCTTAGCTTTAGCTTAGCTTTAGCTTAGCTTTAGTTTAGCTTTAGCTTAGCTTTAGCTCGTCTTTAGCTTAGCTGTAGCTTAGCTTTAGCTTAGCTGTTGCTCAGCTTTAGCTTAGCTGTAGCTTAGCTTTAGCTCAGCTTTAGCTTAGCTTTAGCTTAGCTTTAGCTTAGCTTTAGCTTAGCTTCAGTTTAGCTTTAGCTTAGCTTTAGCTTAGCGTTACTGTTACTACTAATGCTGCTTTCCTAGGGGTTCCAACTCCTAGGTAGGGTCGCACTGGGATAATTGGTTGTTTGGGTTTGGGAAGCAAAAACACTGCACTCTTTTGTTTTGGGGGTTTATTGGGTTTGGGGGGGCCCAGTGTTCACCTCCCCCTCCTCCTCCTTCTCCTCTTCCTTGTCCGGTCCCATTAAGAGACTCCCAACACCGAAATGGAAGCAATAGCAACAACAACACGCAGTGCTCCCTCGTTTCCCAGACCAAAACAACCAACCCAAACACACATTCACAGCGTTTCCTTGCACCGAGGGCGCCAAACGCTGCGTGTGATTGTTTTTGTGTTGCTTCCAAGAAGAGAAATCGGAAAGGAGAAGGAGGAGGAGGATAAGGTGGAGGAGGAGGAGGAGGAGGATGGACGACGAGGAGTAGGATGAAGAGGAGCAACTGTGTCTGGAGAAGGAAGAGAGGCAAAGGTGAGAGAGAAGGAACGGAGGAGGAGGATGAGGAGGAGGAGAGCATCGGGCCCCCCAAACCCAATATACCAAAGACAAAGAAAGAAGCAGTTTTCTGTGTTTCCACACCAGAGCAACAACACAAACAAACATACACAGCGTTCCCTTGCACCAAGTGCGCCAAACGCTGTGTGTTCTTACTTCGACATTGCTTCAAAGGGGAGGAATCGGAAAGGAGAAGGGGAGGAGGAGGATGTGCGAGGAGGAGCGATCCGTGAATGCTTTCTTGGTTTGTGGGTGGTTCGGGGGGTGCTGGGGGGGGGGGCGAGCATATGTGTACACATCAACACATATATATATATATATATATATACACATACATACATAACGGCTCCCACGCCTGTTACCCGCAGAACCGGCCAGAAATTTTACACTATACGGTGTCCCGTGGCGTTTCTGCGAAGCCCCCAGGGAACGGGACCCATAGACCTCCGTGTATACAAGTGCGGTTCCCATCGGGTCACTTTGGCGTGTCGCTGAGAGGTGTCCGGCCCGTACTACTACTTCCTGGACAGGGGCTGCACCGTGACGGTGTGCTCGCTGGCCGGGGGGGACGTGCCCATCGACGCGAGCTCCTTGCACGCGGACTTCAAGACGGACAACGACACGCGCATGGAGCAAGAGGAGTGGGCGCCTATCAGGGGCACGCCGAAGCTCGCCGACCAGGACCCGGAGAAGGAAAAGCAGCAGAACTCAGCACCTTTGAACCTGCCCCCATCCGCACGGGGCCATGCCATCTCGCCAACCATCCCACCACTCCAGTTGAGGGTAGGCCCCTCGGAACCCGAAGGGAACAGTTATACCCATGTCTGGGGGGGGGGGCCCGGGCAGTGAGGCCCACGCCACGCCAGTCGGAATAGGGATCGGTCAGACGATGCTCAGTGGACGTAAACGCTCGAGGTCCGCGCGGGTTGCTGGACCCCCTGGCGGCGCCTCCAGCGCCGCCCCTGACGCGCTCCGCGCCCCAGGGGTGTGGGGTCCAGCGCAGACTCAGCAAACCCGCGCGTGCCTCCGGAAGCTTGCGCTTGCGCAGTGTGTCCCTCCACTGGCGGGGCATGTCCACCCCACAATGCCAGCAGGCGCAGCCCACCCCAGAGGGAAAAACAGGGACGAGAGTACCAGCAACGGCGGCGGTGCCAGGTGGGGGGAGGGGAGGAGCATAATCAGGGGCTACGTCGTTTGTGTGGTCCTGTGCGAGGGTGTCAGAAGGTCCCGCAATTCCTCGTCGTTGTGGGGATTTCGTTTGGGTTCCGTCGAAGTTGGTCGACATCTGGACGACATCTGGACCAACTCTGGGCGAAGGGTGAAGAGGGATGGTTGAACATGGGACGAAGTCTGGTCGAGACCACGCCTTGTTGGGGCCGCGGAGGTCCACAGGCTCCCGTGAAGGCTCACCCAACTGCTGTCGGCTCCCAGGACCTCGGAGCCTACGACATCCTCTTCTTCAGCGGGGGCCACGGCACCTGCGTGGACTTCCCCAGCAGCGACGTCGGGGCCATCGTGGCCGGGGCCATGGAGGCCGGCAGGGTGGTGGCCGCGGTGTGCCATGGACCGAACGCCCTCGTGCAAGCCCTGGCGTCCAGCGGCCCAGCGGTGAAGGGCCGGAGGGTCACCTGCTTCAGCGATGCCGAGGAGGAGGCGCCGAGTAAGAATCGGGCAAACGTCCTCCTCCTCCACATTCTGTGGGTATCCTCCTCCTCCTCCTCCTCCTCCTCCTCCTCCTCCTCGTCGTTCTCGTCGTCCTCGTCCCCTCCTCCTCATTCCCACTGGCCCCAGCCCCCCGTCTCAGGGGTTGCCGACTGACCGCCTCGCATATCCTCGCGGGGTCCCTCCTGGGCCCGGGGCCGGTGAGAGACGCCTGCCTGGCCGAGCCAGGGGGGCGTGTGCAACGATCATGGGCCCAGATCGGTGCAACGTAAGGCTCGAGCTCGCCGGAGCTCGGGTTCGCCGACGCTCGCTGACGAGCGCGCGTCTGGGGCTCGGACGGTGCTGCTCTCTGGGGGAGGTTGGCAGCGGGAGCCCCGCGTCAGCTTTCAGAGCTGGCCTCTGTCGTGTTCCTGGCGGCCCCGTCGGGCCACCCCGAGTCGGGCCGAACGAAAGGGGGGGGATAAGGGAAAGGGTGGGTTACGAAATCTGCTGCGTGCGGCTGGTTTCGGCCCCGCCGCCGGGCCCATTTCTCGATACCATGGGCGCCTCCCGTCGCCGGGAGGCGCCGGGAAGAGCAGCTACGTGAGCCGATTCTCCACCCTACCCTCTTCTGGAGGGGAAGAAACACACAGACACAATTAATCGTCGATCCCGAGGAAAATCGCTGATGCTGCTGATGATGATGATGACGACGATGATGAGCTGATTGTGATGCTGATGATGCTGCTAATGGTGATGATGTTGATGATAATGATGATGGTGGTGATTATGATGATGCTGCTGCTTGTGATGATGATGCTGATGATGATGATGATGATGATGAAACTGATGATGATGATGATGATGATGATGATGATGATGATGATGATGATGATGATGATGATGATGATGATGCTGATGATGATGATGATGATGATGCTGATGATGATTATTGATGATGATGATGATGATGATGATGCGGATGATGATGGGGTTGACCAGGAGGAGGAGGAGGAGGAGGAGGAGGATGAGGAGGAGGAGGAGGAGGACGAGCAGGAGGAGGAGGAAGAGGAGGAGGAAGAGGAGGAGCAGGATGCGGAGGAGGAGGAGGAGGAGGAGGAGGAGGAGGAGGAGGAGGAGGAAGAGGAGGACGAGGATGAGAAGGACGAGGAGGAGGAGGATCCGTAGAAACCCAAGACGCATCAACGTTGTTACAATACATCCTACCTCCAAGTTCCCTCTTGGGCCAGCTTGAAGCTTTCTTTGGGCCGTCCGGGCCGCCTCGGGCCTTTCAAAATCATAGATTTTGGCTCCTTCGGGCCCTCTGGACGGTCCTCTTGGAGCCTTCTTGCGCGGTCTTCCAGGCCCCTCGGGCCGTCATGAAGCCATCTGGGGCGGTCTTAAGGCCAAAGTGGGCGGTCTAGGAGCCATCCTGGGCCGTCGTGCTGGAGGCATCTTGGCCGCGGGAGCGCGCGTACGTCGGAATGTACGGTGGCCTGTGGCCGCGGGACCGCGAGCACGCAGTATTTTGCTACGATTGTGGCCTCGAGAGTGGCCATGAGAGAGGGGGCGGTGCAGGCGGCCCAGCGTGGCGAGCGACGGGGGAGAAGGCCCTGGAAGATTCAGCGAAGCCCTGGCAGACAGCACCTGTGGCAGGCTGGCACGCCCCACATGGCCAGGGGGGGCACGGTGGCGGCTAGCTCTGTAGAGACCTCGCCACCTCCCAGTGGCACAACGTGCACCCCTGCCTCGCATCCTCTTCCTCCGAGGCGGTCGGCCAGACGGCCAACGTGCCCTTCCTCCTGGAGACCCGGCTCCGGGAGCTGGGCGCCCACGTGGAGGTGGGGCCCCCGTTCGCGGACCACTCCGTGCGCGACGGGCTCCTCGTGACCGGGCAGAACCCGCAGAGCTCCGTCTCGTGCGCGAGGCTCGCCCTGGAGGCGTCGCAGCCGGCTGCGGGCGGCAAGAGCGTGGAGGCCGTCGAGCGGGCCCCCAGCGGGAGGGTTTCTCCAAAGGGCTTAGGCGACCCGTCCTTCTCCTCCTCCTCCTCCTCCTCCTTCTCCTCCTCCTTGGGTCGCCTACGGCACCGGGGGAACCCGTGCACCCCCGGCCCCCTCGAGCCCTGAGAAAATCACGTCGGGAGGTTTTCCGCTATCTTCGGCCTCTCCAGGCCCTTACCGGGCCCGTGGGACAGTGAAAAAATATTCTTCGGTAGGAAAGAGCCAGTCCCGGGCCAGGGGTCGAGACCTCCGGGGGTCGACGTCGTGAAACTTCATGACGTCTGGAGGCCGTCGAGCGGGCCGTCGAGCAGGAGTGCGCCAAGGTTCGAGGACGATAACACGGCATGAACATAAACTTTCCGCGCTCCGCGCGGATCTCTTAGATCGGAGAGTGGACTCCCTGGCGGCACCCCCGGCGCCGCCCCTGGCGCGCTCCGCGGGCATGGGAGGGGGGGTTCAGCACAGCTCCAGGAAATCTGCCCGGACCTTTGAAAGTTGATGTGCGTGTGTGTGTGTGTGTGTGTGTGTGTGTGTGTGTGTGTGTGTGCCGTTTTTTCGTCTTCTCAAGGTGCAGGAGTGCGCCAGCTTGCAAGAGTTCTCGAAGGCGCTTTCCCGAAGTCGTCGGGCGTTTCGAGGCCTGGGATGATCCTTTCCATCTCAGCTGCGCCTCGTCGATCGCGCTCCCGGGGCGCGCCCGGATCGGCCCCCACGGCCACCGGAGAGAGCCGACTGCTAAGCCGAAGGCCACGGGGTCACGGCAGGGGGGGGATGAGCTCCGGGTAGGGGGCCACAGACGAACCCTACCCCAGATTTCGTAATAAAAGGGAGGGGGTATCAACCCTCCCAGACGAGAAGTTTTAAACCCCCCCAGACCATCCATGAAAGGGCGGCCCTTTGCCCAGACCCCCCCGAACCCTCCAAGGCAGCTCAAATCAGACCCCCCCCAAATGTGACCCCCCCGACTTTATTATGGAATCCGGAGTACCCCTACTCCCGACGATTTCCGAGGGGGAGGGTGGGGTTCACTTCGCTCGGGAGCTCCCGGTCGAAGTGAACCCCAACCTCCCCCTCAGAAATCGTGGGGGTAGGGGTAGGCTTCGCCTGTGACCCCCTATCCGGGGGGGAACGCATCGACCCTGCACCGCGCACAGCTCGTCCATCGGGGCCCGACCGCCCCCCTTGAGCGTGCGGTTGTGCCATCGGGGGCCGATCGCGGATCCGTCGGCGATGCACCGCCGACTTCGGGCTGATGTCGCCGCGTCGTGCGCCGATCCCCCCCCCTGAATCAGCATCGTTTTTGACCGACCCCTATCCCCGCTTCCATGCTCGTCCAGACCCCCACCATCTCGGCACCCCAGTTGGGGATTACACCCCTCGAAACCCGAAGGAACGGTCCCCCATCCCCACCCGGGAAGGCAGATCGGCCAGTGGGGACCAGGCCACGCCCATGGGGATGGGGGTCGGATAAACGATGCGCGCTGAAAGGTGCCCGAGCTGTTGCCGGAGTCGCCCGGAAAGGGCGGCGCGGCACCGGCGGCGGGCGGCGCCGAACAAGCGTCGCCGGCCACGCTGAAGGAGTGCCCCCCGAGCTACTGGGCGGGGCTGCACGCCCTCTTTCCCGCCACCGTCTGCCAGAAGCCGGAGCAGCCCCTGCTGCCGGAGAAGGAGAAGGACCTAGGCTGGGGCATCTATGCATGCACGCGCATCTGTACATTCCATTATCGAGTGGCCTTCGGCCCACCCGCCACCTTGCCTGGGTTGTGGGTCTGAGTTCTCAGGGATGCTTCGTCAGGTCTCCTCGGAGCGCGTCCTGGGGCCTCTCAGGAGCAGTTTGTGGACCTCCTGGGGTCCTCTTGGAGCCTCTTGGGGGCCTCTTGGGGGCCTCTTGGGGGCCTCCTGGGGGCCTCCTGGGGGTCCCTCGGGGCCGAGGGCTCGAAATATTCATTGAGGTTCCCCATCTAGGCCCCCTCTTGGGGCCAGCTTTGGACCCTCCTGGGCCGTCTTGGGCGCCTCTTGGGCCGTCTCGGGGCCCTCTTGGGTTGTCTTGGGGCCCTCTTTGGGGCCTCTGGGGCCGTCTTTGAGCGATCTTGGGGGCCTCGTGGGCCGTCTTGGAGCGCCGGGAAAACGAAATGCGCGAACGATGAAATCCTTCAAGACATACGGAAAATCAAGGAATTCTGCCTCTTGGGGCCCTCTTGGGGGCCTCTGGGGGTGGCTTGGAGGCCTCTGGGGGTGTCTTGGAACGCTCCTCGGCCGTCTCGGGAGGCTTTGTGGGCCCCCCCTTGGGGCCTTTTTGGGGCCCTCTGTGCGCATGTTGGTCCTGTTGGGCGGGGCCGCCGTCCCAGAGGCCCACGCGACGCGCCCCGGCAGCGCTCCGGAGGGCCCGGCGGCGCCCGGGAAGCCAGGGGCCCCGGCCCTTGCAGAGCTTTTGAGCCCTGGAGCCGCTCAGGGCTGCAGGAGCCTTGGGGCACTCGGCTACATGCTCAAGGGCACGGTGTTTTTTAGATGATATGCGTCACGCATACATGTACGTGTCGATATACACACATATAGATACACACATATGTATAGATCCATCTATGTATAACCATGGTGTTCACATATGCAGATGTATGGTTTCACAGTCGTATCTGCATATACTTCCATATGCGTGTATATATATATATATATATAGATGTATTGACATCCCCTCCTCCATCGGGCTTCCCCTTCACATTCCTCCTCCTCGTCCTCCTCCTCCTTTGCTCTTCTCTTTATCCTCCTCATCCTCCCTCTGTCCCCTCCCCATCCAGCCCTACCCATGCCCTCTCTATGTCGGACAGGGTTTCATGTACTGCCTCGACAGCAGCTTTGTGGCACTTGTGTATCTGTTTATGTTATGCGTATCCTCATGCCGCCTCATTTTCTTACCCTTCCTGCTTTCGCACCTGCTCCTCTCGCATCTGACATGCATAGGAGGTGGGGGGGAAGACCGAAGTGAAACGGAAGCCCCGAACCGGGATGTTGGTGTCGGTTTCGGTTCGCGTCGTGGGTGCGGGTGAGACGAAGTTGCGCGAAGGCGAAAATGTTGTTGCCATCCTAGGTCCATGTAGGGCCAATCAAGTCGCGCTCACACGAGGCGTGTCCCGGGCTGTCCCGCTGTTGTCCCGTGTGGTTGTCCCATAGCGTGCCTGGTGTTGTCCTGCGGTTGGATTGGCCAGTCATTTTAGTCTTCATTCCCTCGGGATTCGCTGAGGTCTGCCGGAGGCCGCCTGAGGCTGGCCGCTGGCTCCACCATGGAGGGCTCCGAAATGCATGGACTACGTTAGAGAAGTTGGTCCATGGTTTAGCTCAGCTAGTTGAATGTTTTGTGTGTTCAATCGCCGCATTTCTAAGAGTCCAGACACGACCTTCACAAAGTGACTGCCGCGGATTTGCCAAAGGCAGTGTGTAGTTAGCTTATGCAATGCGTGTGAGCCTCCTCTCTGGCCAGGCTGGCCTGAGCGCGACAGTTCATTCAGTTATTTATGATCAGTCTCCAGGTGCGCATTACGTTTATCATTCACATCAGTCCGGCTCCTCCGGAGGCTGGGTTGGCTCCGCACGGGAGGAGGCCGGCATACTCCGAACCAGCTCAGTGAGCCCACCATCTTCAAGCGGACCACTGAGGCTGGTGAGTTGCATTGCTGGCCTTCGGCCTTGGGATTCCTAGCAAGTGCCCAATCGTGTATAGATTTGTATATATATATATATAAGCATAGACCCCCATGCATACCTACAGATAAAGGCATGTAAATGTGTATGTGTATGTATGTATGTGTGTATACATGCATAAGAATGTGTACACACATATATGTATATATATATACATAAATACAGATAGGTGTATAGGTCTCACGCTATGTATTTGTGTGTGCGTGTCCGTGAATGCTCCGCCGTCTGCCGCTGGTCCCCCCCCTCTGTCAGCACGGACGCTCTCGGGGCCGTGCCTCGGGGTGCCCGTGGGCGCCGTCTGGAACACCCCCTGGGGACACCCTGCGGGGACGGACCGGAGGAGTCGAGATGAGCCCCGCACTTGCCCCAACACCTCCACGTGGTTCGGAGGTGGATAGACCTCCTACCCTGACACGTCGATTAAGGAATTGGCCGTTTTCGGTTCGCGGGAGGGCGTCGCGGCCGTCATTTTTGCAGGTCCAGGTCCGTCGGTTTCGGTCCCAGGCTGTTTTCACTAAGGGGAGGTTTACTAAAGGGAGGTTTATCCACCGCCGAGTGGTGTGCGGATCCCGACCCTAGGGGGCCACAAGCGAAGCCCACCCCTACCCCCGGCGATGTCTGAGGGGGGGGGGCGGGGCTCACTTCGTTCGGGAGCTCCCGAGCGAAGTGAACTCCCCCCCCCTCAGAAATCGTGGGGGATAGGGATAGGCTTCGCTTGTGGGCTCCTAGGGTCGGAATCCGCACACCACGTGGAGGTGTTGGGGCCAGTGCGTGGCTCATGTCGACTCCTCCGATCCGATTCGGTTCGCTTTCGATCAGTTCCGGTTCCGGTCCGATTCGGTTTCGGATCCCGATTTTGGCTCCAGTTTCTGAACGGGGGCCTCTTGGGCCGCCGATTTCCGCGGATTCAACTTTTTCCCGACTCGGCCGCCGATTTCTACCGATCCAGTTCATTTTGATCGCCGATCCGACTTGTCGATTCGATCCTGGGCTCTCCTGCTAGCGTCGAGCACGCTGTTGAACTTTTGGAGCGTTCCCCTCGTGCTGCGCAGCAGCAGCCCCCTCGGCACGGCCACCAGGAGGGGCCGCCTGCGGCCATCTGGGCAACGGGGGAGCGCGAGTCGGGTGCAGTCGACCATGGTGAGCATGGTTTGACCGATCCCCATCCCCATCCCCATCCCCATCCAGACCCCCACCATCTCATCCCCCCAGTTGGGGATGCTACACCCTTCGAAGTCTGACAGAAACTGCCCGTGTCCCCGTCTTGGGGGGATGAGCTGGCCAGTGGGGCCCAGGCCACGCGAGTGGGGATAGGGATCGGTTACTCCAGATTTCATATTAAAGGGAGGGGGGTCTCATTTCGGGGGGGGTCTCTTCCAGGCTATCTTGGAGGGCCTGGGGGGGTCTGGGGATGATGTTTTGGAGGGTTCTCCCACGGGGGAGGTCTGAAATGGCTTGTCTTGGAGGGTCCAGACCCCCTCCCTTTTATTACGAAATCTGGAGTAGACGATGCTCACGTGAGATTTGGGCTCAGGCGCGCGCGCCTGGGGCAATTTGCACGGCATGCTGTCCTCGGGGGCGGGAGCCACGCGCGGTGTGCGAAGGGTTCTGGCCTCGGGAGCGCAGCGCTCGCATGATGTTCTTATGTGGAGGAGCTTTGGCTCTGGAAGCGCGACGCTCGAGCAAGTTACGGTGGATCCTGGCTCTGGGAACGTGAGCCTTGGAACGCTCGCATGATTTTGTATGTGGAAACCTTGGGCTCTGGAAGCGCGAAGCTCGAGCAAGTTACGATGGATCCTGGCTCTTGGAGCGTGAGCCTTTCTGGGCATTTTCCAAGGGGTTCTGGCCTCGGAGGGGCGATTTTCTCAAGTGCTCTGATCTGGATTCTGGCCTCGGGAGCGCGAATCGCCCGAGGCTGGTGTAATTGACGAAGGGGTCTAGCTTCGGGAGCGCGACTATAGCGTGATTCACTCAGGATTCTGGATTTTGGGGTTTGCAAGCGGTTTTCGTTTTGGGGGTGCGAATCTGGTGTATTTTGAATTGGGTTCTTGGCTCAAGGGCGCGATCCTCCTTTGATTTGCAAAACAAGTTGGCTTCGAGGGCGGTAACCTTGCGTAAATGGTGAAGGATTATGACTTTGGGAACGCGAATCTCACGTACTTTCACGTATGCTTGCGCCCCACCAGGGAATTCTGAGAAGCCGGGTGGGACACGCCAACTTTTGCGCCCCCCCACTCCCTCTTGCGAACAGCAAGAGCCTTTAGTGCATCTTGGAAGCGCCCTGGTCGTTTCTTTATAGTTTCCAGCTTTTGTGTCTTATGAGCGAACAGCGGGCACTTGGAAACGATGACAAAAGCGGACCCTGGAACTATCAAACAACGATTCCGCGCGATCAGTTGGAAACAAATTTTTAAACGAGTCGGCGCAAGCTGGAATCTGTAAAAACAGACCCCCTGGAAACTATACACAACGGGCTGGTGAACAAGCGGCACAAAACGAGAGTGCTGATGATAATGAATACGGGGCGGGCGGCGCAGCGGGCATCAGCAGCATTGAGCGGTAGCAGCAGGCAGTAGCAACAGGCAGTAGCAGCACCAGACAGCATAGGAGGAAGTTGGAGGCTGCAGTGGGCAGGAGGTGCAACAGAGAAGCTGGTTGGAGAGAGCTTCGAACTCTTACCGTGCGTTACCTATCAGTCGCTGTCCGACCCACCGAAATGAGGGGTTGGAAACGCGTTGAAAACGTATTGGAAGCGGTCTCAACCAGGCAATTTCGACCCTTGGCCCAGGGGAAGCGGAAACACGGAGGATGTCGCCGCCGCCGCTGCCGCCGACGCCGCAGTATGACACCGACGATGTCTCTGGCTTTGACGCGCACGGGATCGGACAGCGACTGACAGGCAACGCGCGATAAGAGCTCAGAGAAGCCTTTTGGAGAGAGCGCGTCGAGCTCTGATTGTGGGTGGCCTGTCAGTACCGGATACAACACAGCACATTGCGAGGCAGACTTGGAAACGATGAAAAACGAAGCTGGAAACTATAAAACAAGCGATCCTTCGGATTGACGCTGGAAACGATCAAAAGACGCATCGAACAAACGGAAGCCAGAAACTATTGAAAAACGTATTCTTGAATTCAAGGTGGAAGTTTTCTAAATAGAAGATAATGATAATGATAAAACCGCCCAGGGCGTTTGCAAGACAACTTACAGTTGGACGCAGACAGTAGCACTGTAGCATTGCCGATGGAGGCTGGGAGCTGGAGTTTATTGTTGTAGCTGTACTCATTCAATGAAGCCCTACACAGCAGCCTGATCCGGCCAGACTTCAGGCCCCGTGGGGGCCGCTGGGTACGGAGCGCTCCTGGAGGGCCGAAGACGTCCCCAGATGGCCCCCAGAGGCCCCCCAAGACGGGCCAACAGGGCTCCAAGGCGCCCAAGATGGCCCCAAGACGGCCCCAGCGGCCTCGCAGACGCACGAGAGATCCCCAAGAAGCCTCGCAAGAGAGCCCCAAGCGGCTAAAACCGTCTAACTCCCCTTCGGAAGACGTGTATGTTTAGCATACACGACTTTTAGGCTTTCCGACGCTTCAAGGCGGCCGAATGGGCTCCTTAAGACGCCCCCACGAAGGCCCAAGAGGGCTCCAAGCGACCCCAGAGGCGCCCAAGACGGCCCAAGAGAGCCCCAAGACGGCCCCCGAGACCGTCAGCAGGCCCCCAACGAGCCCCAAGAGGCACCTAAGAAGCCCAGAGCAGGCCCGAAAGGCTTCCCCAGGAGGCGTCCTGAAAGGCCCCAGTAGCTCTAACCTCGAAGCTCACACATGACCGCGCGCCATCGCCGCCCCTCCGATCATGTACCGAATGGAGGAAAACATTAGTACGGCGACGGTCAGACATATTACAGACATGGATTGTATGTAGTAGTTGTGTATGTATGTGTAGAAGTATCGGCATTTGTAGTTGTAGAGGTATATATATATATATGCACGTGTGCATGTATATGTGTATGTCTATATATTTATGTGTATACGTAGATGCACATGTTGAAGCGTATATGCACATGCCTATGTTCATGCATACATATATATATGTAGATGTATGCATGCATGTACGGTTGTACGTGTGTGTATGTATACATGCACGTGTGTACATGTATGTATGTATGCATGTATGAATATGTGCATGCGTGTGTGTATGTATGCATGTATGTACGCTCTTATGTATGCGTGGATGTATGTATGCGTGCACGTGTGTATGCATGACTGCATGTATGTATGCATGCCTTTATGTCTATATGGTGTACGTATGTGTGTATGCTGTTATATATGCATGTGTGTAGATATGTATGTATGCAGGTATGTCTGGATGCGTGACTGTATGTATGCATGCATGTATGCATGCATGCATGCATGTATGCATGTATGCATGTATGCATGTATGCATGTATGCATGTATGTATGTATGTATGTGTATAAGAATGAATGAATATATGTTATTACGTATGTAGGTATGCAGTATGTGTATACAGGTATGTCCATGTAGGTACGCATTCATGTACGTTTGTGTGTATGCTTACATCTATACATATATATATATACATATGCACACGCGTATGTACACACACATATATATATACACATGTGTATGCACATCATCCCTGCCGCCTGGGGAATCGACCTTCATGGGTCTCGGGAGGCGGCGGACCTGGACAGATGCGGGCCCGCTGGGGCCCGACTCGAAGTCCGTCTCCGCCGCCCCTCGGGGGCCCTCGGAGGTCGGCTTCCCGGGTCGCTGATACGTAGAAGCCTTCCCCTGGCAAATCATCCGTCGGAGACGTCGTCAGTCGGCGAAGCTCTGAAGAAGCCCGCCGCAGGCGCCTAACATGTACACTTATACAGTGAGCTCGCCGCAGGCGCCGATGTCGTCGTTTCGTTAGAGCAATGTGGATTGGTCGCGGGTGCGTCGTGGGTGGCTCGCGGGCGGGTCGCGGGTTGGTCGCGGGTTAGTCGGTTCCCCTTCTTTGGTAAAATTATTGAGACCCAAAGAACCCCTAACCCTAGTAGCACGATGAAGGCGCGGCCTCACTGAGGTCCCCGTCTTCGCACCAGGGATCAGAATTTCTGGGCGGTTTGGCCTGGCACATGCGCACACCAGCTCACCCATCCCTGATGTTTGAGGCCCTCCTAGCGTAGGTCCCCTCCCAAAGGGCTAGTGGCCCTTCTTTGGTTAATCACAAAAAGGAGAAGGAGGGCGGCGCGTCCCTGGCGGCGGGCGGCGCCGAGGAGGCACCGCCGGCCACGCTGAAGGAGTGCCCGCCGTGCTACTGGGCGGGGCTGCACACCCTCTTTCCCGCCACCGTCTGCCGGAAGCCGGAGCAGCCCCTGCTGCCGGAGAAGGAGAAGGTCCGAGGCGGGCACCTGTACGATCTCCACGGCCTGGGGAGAGCCGAGCTTCCTGGACCTCCCCTGAGATCCGACGTTGCAAAAACAGAGACAACGTCGCAGAAAATCACGCCCGGAGCCCCGGACCCCATCTGTCTGCGTCATTTCTCGAGCCGCATCGATCTGTGAGGGTCCCGCGGCCCGGCATTGCGCGAACGCCCTCGTTGTGAGAAAGTTGCAGCGCCAGGATCTCGGTGGAGAGCCGCGCTTCCTGGACCTCTCGGGGCGCGGCCCCGTTCTGGATGCGGTCGGGCCCGCCGGGGCCGTCGGCCGGCGTGTCCACATCCGCGCCGCCCCTCCCGCAGGGGGTCCAGCAGGGGCAGCTGCCCTCTGGGGCGGTGGATCTGCGCAGGTGCCGGCCCCGCAGAAGGAGAAGGAGAAGGAGAAGGAGGTCCCAGAAGGGGGAAGAACCACACAGACACACATTTCGTCGTCGACCCCCAGGAGTAACAAGGGAGAAGCTATATGGGAAGTGGTGGGGGGGGAAGACGCACATCCAGAAGAGATGGAGAAAGTAGGGAGAAGCATCCTAGGGTTGATGTCTATTGATTTGTGTGTCCCAGGGCCCCCTTCCAGAGGTGCCCGAGGCCCCCGCGGCGGCGGCGGTGCAGGCTGCCGAGCCCGAGCTGGCGGACACGGCGGTGACCATCGCCCCGATCTACAGGCTTGTGGACGCCCCGGCGTTCCGGGACACGTGGAAGGCGGAGTACGAGGCCCTCCGGGCCTCCTGAAGGATGGGGTCGCGAACAGGTGTCAGGCAGTGGCGAGGTTTCCTGGCTCGCCTGTAGTCCCACCAGAAAGTGTTCGAATGACTTTTTTTTGGTGATTTGCACGAGGTGTTCTCAGGAAATGTCTGACTGGGACGGTCCTGTGTTAGCCCATCGGGCCTATGCTTTAAGAGCATTGTTTTGTTGTTGATTCGTGGTAGGCCTATCTAAATCACATCGAGTTTCAGGACCACGTTCCAGAAGTGGTTTCGAGCACCCAGGGAAATATCGAAGCGGTGTTGAACGAGCATCGCTTCCCAAGACGCGGCACGTGAAAATCCTCAAGTGTCGGTACTTTCCGGGTGCTCGAAATTCTTCCTGGCGGTCAAGACTAAAGCAGGTGGGAACATCATAACCCGAGTGGGTGGGGTCGGATGTTCGCGAGCTACGTCGCCGACGCAGCGCCTATGCATCGGCGACGTCGGCGGCACCTGGGCGCCATCGGAGCAAAAAGAAATCGGGCTCCACATCGAGCCGCATCACCGATGCATCCGCGATGCCGCGCGATCCTACGACTCCATCTTTGAGCAGGGGCCGACCGTCCAGGAGGAAAAGGAGGAGGAGAAGGAGGAGGAGGAGGAAGAAGGAGGATAAGGAGGAGAAGGAGGAGGAAGGAGGAGGAAGGAGGAGGAAGGAGGAGGAGGAGGAAAGAGGAGGAAGGAGGAGGAAGGAGGAGGGAGAAGGAAGAAGGAGGAGAAGGAGGAGGAAGGAGGAAGGAGGAGGAGGAAGGAGAAGGAGGAGGAGGAAGGAGGAGGAGGAAGGAGGAGGAAGGAGGAGGAGGAGGAAGAGGGAAGCCTCCAGGTGCGCAGGCCGGACTGCCTGCAGCTGGCCCACTGCTTCTCCGAGGACGGCCAGCACGCGCTCGCCTGCGAGACCTACGCCGACGCCGCGGGGGCCCTGCGGCAGCTCGCGGCCGCCACGCCGCTCGGCCCGGCCGCGGAGCTCGTGCGGCTGGAGGCGCACGGGCCGGCGGCGGAGCTCGAGCAGCTGCGGGCGCAGCTCGGGCCGCTGGGCTGCGCCTTCTTCGCCACCCAGCGGGGCTTCCGCGCGGCCCGGCCGGCGCTGCCGCAGGACACGGTGGCCGGGGGCCGCCAGAATGACAGGAGGGATCGGAGGTGGGTCGACCACCTACCCCCCTGACGCGTCGAGTAGCGAGGTGGCCGTGTTCGGTGCGAGGGAGGGGGCGTCGCGGCCGTCACGTTTGCGGGCCCAGGTGGGTCGGTTTCGGTCTTGGGCCGTTTCCACTGAAGGGTGGTTTGCTGAAGGGAGGGTTGTCCACCGCCGGAGGAGCAACCACCGACAGAAACAGGAAAACTCGGAGGTCCGCGCGGGCTCCTCGGATTTCGGCGCTGGGGCCCCCCTCCCTGGCGTGCGGAGCGCGCCAGGGGCAGCTCCGCTCCGGAGGCGCCGTCAAGGGGCCCCAGCGCCGATGCGAGGAAGCCGCGTGGAGCGCCACAGGTTTATGTTTATGGCGTGTGTTATTCTTCCTCTTCTTCTTCTTCTTCGCATTATTATTATTATTGTTAGTATTATTCGTAGTAGCATTAGCATTCGTATTCGTATTATCATTATGATCATTCTTAGTTTTATTATTCTTCATTTCTATTCGTTTTATCATAGCATCATTATCATTGTTGTTATTGCGATTCTTATTGCTATTAGTATTCGTATTATTAATGTTAGCATTATCGTTATTATTCTTATTAGTATTATTAGTATTCGTATTATTCGCATTCGTATTGTTATTAGTATTCTTTAGTATTATTATTATTGTTATTATTATTATTATTGTTCGTATGATTCATCTTTTTGTTCCCCTACAGGCGGGCCCCTTGCCCAAGATGTCCCCCAGGAGGGATCTCTAAGGAGGCCCAGAGGGCCTTCAGAGCGTACGTCCCCCGAGGACGTGGGGGACCCCAGAGGCTCTTTGAGCGGCTCGAGAAGCTGGAGGGGGCATCTCGGGTTAAGTCGGGCACGTCCCTCTAGAGGAGGGATTAACAAAAAAATAGAATAATAGCTTGGCGAAGGACCCAACCATATGCAGCTGTGAATACCGCAATTGTGAATACCATCTTCGCCCGCGCTCCCTATGTGGCCACGGCTTCCCGCCGGAGCCCGACATGCTCGGGGACACGTTCGTGGCCGTCTTCTCGGGCGCCGACGACGACAAGGACGGCGTCCCTCTCACCGAGGAGCAGAAGCAGGAGAGGGCCTTGAGAGCCATGAGGGAGGAGGTGGCGTTGCACGTCGACAAGGCGGAGTACGACGCCCACGCGCGGTTGTTGAAACATCAAAACTATGGGGCCACGATCCTCGTGAGGGAGGTGCCGCAGTGGCCCGGAGCTGCCATGCGAACCCTGCCACTGGCGCCTTCGGTGGAGCTCCCTATGGGGCCACGATCCTCGTGAGGGGTGTGCCGAAATGGCCTGAGGCCGCCATGCGAACGCTGCCACTGGGGCCTTCGGTGGAGCTCCCTATGGGGCCACGATCCTCGTGAGGGGTGTGCCGAAATGGCCCGAGGCCGCCATGCGAACCCTGCCACTGGGCCTTCGGTGGAGCTCCCTATGGGGCCACGATCCTCGTGAGGGTGTGCCGAAATGGCCCGAGGCCGCCATGCGAACGCTGCCACTGGGGCCTGTTCCGGAGCTCCCAATGGGGCCACGATCCTGTGAGGGGTGTTCCGAATTGCCCGAGGCCGCCATGCGAACGCTGCCACTGGGGCCTTCTGAGCTCCTATGGGGCCACGATCCTTGTGAAGGTGTGCCGAATGGCCCGAGGCCGCCATGCGAACCTGCCACTTGGGGGGTGTGGGCCGAAATGGCCCGAGGCCCGCCACCATAGAAAACGCTGCCATGGGGCAGTGGGCTCCCTATGGGGCCACGATCCTCGTGAGGGTGTGTGCCGAAATGGCCCGAGGCCGCCATGCGAACGCTGCCACTGGGGCCTTCGGTGGAGCTGCCTATGGGGCCACGATCCTTGTTAAGGCTGTGCCGAAATGGCCCGAGGCCGCCATGCGAACGCTGCCACTGGGGCCTTCGGTGGAGCTCCCAATGGGGCCACGATCATCGTGAGGGGTGTACCGGAATGGCCCGAGGCCGCCATGCGAACGCTGCCACTGGGGCCTTCGGTGGAGCCTCCTATGGGGCCACGATCCTCGTGAGGGGTGTGCCGAAATGGCCCGATGCCGCCATGCGAACGCTGCCACTGGGGCCTTCGGTGGAGCTCCCTATGGGGCCGCGAAACGCTGTAGTGGGTGGGTGAAACGCAGGGAGGAGGGGGGAGGAGGGGGAGGAGGAGAGGAGAGGAGTGACGCGGGGCACCGTCTCTTCAAAACGAGGACCCAACACCACAGGACGGTTGGGAATTAGTCATGGGACGATTTTGAGATTATGTTTCCCGGCGGAGCCGGGTGAAATTCCGTGCCCGCCAGCTGACTGATGACTGACTGAACGTCAGGGGACAGCTCGGGAGACACGTTTCAAACCGCCCGCGGGAGCGCAACCCGGCGGGGCAACCGCAACCCAACCGGGCGACACATTTCAAAGCGCCCGCGGGAGCGCGCAACCGCAACCGCAACCCGGGCGACACATTTCAAAGCGCCCGCGGGAGCGCGCAACCGCAACCGCAACCGGGCGACACATTTCAAAGCGCCCGCGGGAGCGCGCAACCGCAACCGCAACCGGGCGACACATTTCAAAGCGCCCGCGGGCGCGCAACCGCAACCCAACCGGGCGACACATTTCAAAGCGCCCGCGGAGCGCGCAACCGCAACCGCAACCGGGCGACACATTTCAAAGCGCCCGCGGGAGCGCGCAACCGCAACCCAACAACCGCACCAGGCAACACATTTCGAAGCGCCCGCGGGAGCGCGCAACCGCAACCCAATTGGGCGACACATTTCAAAGCGCCCGCGGGAGCGCGCAACCGCAACCGCAACCGCAACCAACCGGACACACATTTCAAAACGCCCGCAGGCGCGCAACCGCAACCCAACAACCGGGCGACACATTTCAAAGCGCCCGCGGGAGCGCGCAATCGCAACCGCAACCGCAACCGGGCGACACATTTCAAAACGCCCGCGGGCGCGCAACCGCAACCGCAACCGGGCGACAAATTTCAAAGCGCCCGCGGGAGCGCGCAACCGCAACCGCAACCGCAACCGGGCGACACATTTCAAAGCGCCCGCGGGCGCGCAACCGCGACCGCAACCGGGCGACACATTTCAAAGCGCCCGCGGGCTCGCAACCGCAACCGCAACCGGGCGACACATTTCAAAGCGCCCGCGGGTTCGCAACCGCAACCGCAACCGGGCGACACATTTCAAAGCGCCCGCGGGAGCACGCAACCGCAACCGCAACCGGGCGACACATTTCAAAGCGCCCGCGGGAGCGCGCAACCGCAACCGCAACGGCAACTGGGCGACACATTTCAAAGCGCCCGCGGGAGCGCGCAACCGCAACCGCAACCGCAACCGGGCGACACATGTCAAAGCGCCCGCGGGAGGGCGCACCCGCAGGGTTTCAAGGGGGTCGATTGCGCGTGCACTTGTGCGTAAGCTGCCCGCGGAAGGTGGCGCGTAGGCGCCTTAATGCGGTCTGCCGCGCGAGCGGCTTGCGTGATCCACCGCGCAAGGTCGTCGCGCAATCGAGTGCAACCCCCCTTCTGATCGTTTCTCCCTGGGGGGTCAGGCGAGTGGAATTGCCTCAGCCACGTCTCGGCCACGCTCGTGGGACTGCCCCCCGCAGGGTTTCAAGGGGGTCGATTGCGCGGGCACTCGCGCGCATGCCGCCCTCGTAAGTTCGCGCGTCTGCCGCGCGAGCGGCCTGCGTGAGCCACCGCGCAAGGTCGTCGCGTATTCAAGTGCAACCCCCCTTCTGATCGTTTCTCCCGGGGGGGTTCAGGCGAGTGGAGTTGCCTCAGACACAGTTCGGCCACGCTCGTGGGACTGCCCCCCGCAGGGTTTCAAGGGGGTCGATTGGGGGCGGGGGACGACAAGGAGAAGAAGGAGGAGCCACTGGCGGAGGGCCCGACGACGAGCCCCCGCGTGGCCCGCGGTTCTCCGCCGGGACATTGCAGCGGGGAATCCCTATTCCACGCTGCTGCCCTTGATTGCGCATTTTTGGAATATTGTTCGAGTATTTCCAGTTTGTCGCCCAAAACCCGCCGTACGAGGACATGCCTGACCTAAATCTTGGGCCATGGGCCGCTTCTGGCAGCACCCGAGGTGTGCCACCTGAGCTCCTCCTTCTCCCTGAAGCAGCCCGAGGAGTTCAAGAAGCTCGCCTTCGCCGCCTACCAGGAGCCGGGGTAGGTAACATGGCATAAGCAGAACATGGTTCGAAGACCTGCGCGGATGTCTTGTATCGGCGCTCGGTCCCCCTGGCGGCGCCTCGGGAGCCGCTTCTGGCGCCGCCCCCGGCGCGCTTCGCGCGGCTGGCAGGGGGGGGATCCAAATAGTACACACACATGCTCATGCAGTTTTTGCCTCGTGAAAGGAGGCGGTTGCGCAGGCGGAGCCCGAGGGCTCCGTCCAGTACGCCGTCTCTTTCGACGAGGCCGCTGGCGTGGCGGCGCTCCGGCAGGCCTACGACTGCGCCGAGGGGCTGCTGGCACGCATGAAGGCCGTGGGCCAGACTTAAGGTCATGATTGTTTCATCGACCCCTGCTCCCATCCCCACCCCTATCCAGACCCCCACCATCTCAGCACCCCAGTTGGGGATATACCCTTCGGGATGCAAAGTCAACCGCCTAGATCCCCATCGAAAGGGGCAAATCGGCCAGTGGGGCCCAGGGCACGCCCATGGGCACAGGGTTCGGTGAAACGATGCTCGTTAAGCGGGGGGTAGTGAATGGACGGGTTACGATCTTCGCCTGCCGATTTTGGAAGTTGTCGAACGTTTTCGAGAACCCGTGTGGTTTCCACCAACCGCGCCTCGTCGAGGGCGTTCCGGGGGGGGGTGCCCAGATCGTCCCGAACGGCCGACGGAGAGTCGAGTTATGACCCGAAGGCCACAGAGCAACGTTTGGGGGGATTGCATGGAGGCTGACACGGGTTGGCCTGCAGGACAGGGAAGACGAAATGGACTCTGCCAGTGCGGGACGGCAGACCATCCAATCAGCTACCTGAGAGGCCCTGCGCTGAGGCAGCAACATACTGATCACCATTATCGGGCTACAAAAGGGGATATGTTGGGGTTACGGCATTTGCTGCATGCAGCTGGTTTCGGCTCCGCCGCCGGACGCTTTCCTTAATACATCGGCGCCTCTGGCGCCAGGAGGCGTCAGAGAAATCAGCCATGCGAGCTGATTCGCTACCCCCCCTCTTTAACTACTCTAGAGCTCCCAGATGGGTTCGTAGTAGATGGGGTCGGATGTTCGCGCCGCATCGCCGACGCATCGGCGATGCGGCATTTTCTCCACGCCGACGTCGCCGATACATCGCCGACGTCGACGATGCAGCGCCAATGCATCGGTGATGCATCGGTGACGCGTCGACGATGCGGCGCGATCCTTCGACCTCATCTGGGATGCCTCGATTTGCTCTAAGTCCCACAGTGGTGGGGATGGGGGAGCCAAGAACGTGTTGGGCGGCGCGTCTGGGACCCCCCCCCAGAGAGCGGGGCAGCCGCATCAAAATCCCCCCCAGAGGGACGACAACGGGTCCAACATCGAGAGGCCCCCAACAATCTTGTCTGTCGAGGCCCGTCAGACCCCCCCTAGATCACCAAGCGCGTTCCACTACTCGCAAAATCGTGTCTGCTCGCAAACGTCAGAAGCAAAACATGTCTGCTTCGATGAACTGGATCGTAGATCCCCCCGCGGCGGACCCGGGCCATCCGCGAGCAGGTGCTGTCGGCGAATCGTGGAGCGCGCTCGCCTATCAAAAAGAGAGGCCCCCTCCATCATTCTTGTTGCGGTCCAGGGCACTGCACCCCCCCGATTTCGACCAGGTGCTCCTCTTCCTCGCCGTATGTTCCCTCTTCCCCCTCACTCCTCCTCCTCCTCCTCCTCCTCCTCCTCCTCCTCCCCCCCCAACCCCTTCTCCTCCTCCTGCTCCTCCTCCTCCTCCTCCTCCCCTCCTCCTCCTCCTCCTCCTCCTCCTCCTCCCCCTCCCCTCCTCCTCCTCCCCCTCCTCCCCCTCCTCCTCCTCCTCCTCGTCATTCTCCTCCTCCCTCCTCCTCCTCCTCCTCCTCCTCCTCCTCCTCCTCCTCCTCCTCCTCTCCCTCCTCCTTCTCCTGCTCCTCCTCCTCCTCCTCCTGCTCCTCCTCCTCCTGCTCCCTTCTCCTCCTCCTCCTGCTCCTCCTCCTCCTCCTCCTCCTCCTCCCTCCTTCCCCTCCCCTCCTCCTCCTCCTCCTCCTCTTCCTCCTCCTCCTCCTCCTCCTCCTCCTCCTCCTCCTCCCTCCTCCTCCTCCCCCTCCTCCCCTCCTCCTCCTCCTCCTCGTCATCTCCTCCTCCTCCTCTCCTCCTCCTCCTCGCTCCTCCTCCTCCTCCTCCTCTCCTCCTTCTCCTGCTCCTCCTCCTTCTCCTCCTGCTCCTCCTCCTCCTGCTCCCTTCTCCTCCTCCTCCTGCTCCTCCTCCTCCTCCTCCTCCTCCTCCTCCTCCTCCTCCTTCCCTCCCCCTCCTCCTCCTCCTCCTCCTCCTCCTCCTCCTCCTCCTCCTCATCCTCCTCCCCCTCCTCCCCCTCCTCCTCCCTCCTCCTCGTCATTATCCTCCTCCTCCTCCTCCTCCTCCTCCTCCTCCTCCTCCTCCCGTTCCTTCTTCGGCCCGCGCCTCCGCCAGAGCCGCCGGCACGGCCCGCCCAGCCCGGCGTCGAGACGTGCTCGGGGCCCGAGGGGCTTCTGAGCAGCTTGCTTGTAGGACGCGTGGACGGTGCTGACAATGATGATGCAGCTGATGCTGATGATGCTGATGCTGGTGCTGCTGCTGCTGCTGCTGCTGCTGATGATGATGATGATGATGCTGATGCCGATGATGCTGACGATGATGCTGATGCTGATGCTGATGCTGACGATGATGATGCTGCTGCTGATGATGATGATGGTGATGATGATGTTGATGCTGACGATGATGCTGATGCTGGTGCTGAGGCTGACGATGATGATGCTGCTGATGATGATGATGGTGATGGTGATGGTGCTTATAATGACGATGATGATGATGATGATGATGATGATGATGATGAGGATGCTGATGCTGCTGCTGATGATGATGATTCTGATGACGATGAAGAGTATGCTGATGATGATGATGACGATGCTGATGCTGCTGATGATGATGCTGCTGCTGATGATGCTGCTGCTGATGATGATGCTGCTGATGCCGACGATGATAATGATGATGCTGATGATGATGCTTATGATGCTAATGATGATGGAGAGGATGTTGATGGTGATGCTGATGGTGATGACGATGATGCTGCTGCTGATGATGCTGATGAACATATTAAAGATGATGATGATGATGATGATGATGATGATGATGATGATGAGGATGAGGATGATGATGATGATGACGATGATGGTGATGATGATGCTGATGATGATGATGCTGATGATGATGATGATGATGATGGTGGTGGTGGTGGTGGTGGTGGTAGGTAGCCTCGAGCGCCGCAGGGAAGTGCCCTACATCTGCGCGCATCTTCACACGGCCGCAAGGAATAGCGGAAGGGAGGCGGGGCTCAGGCAGATGTCAGATATTCGCAGCACGGCACAGGAGCGGGAAGGGTGAAGCGAGACAACATTAGCAAGTCCTCGAACATGCGCACTTCTACCTCCTCACCCTCACGGGCAGCCGCTACCCATGTCTCCTCGCTCTTCTCCTCCCCCTCCCCTCCTACAGCCAAATTGAGATCCCCTCTCTCCCGACACGTATTCCATCATCATCACCATCAGCATCACCATCATCAGCATCACCCTCACCATCATATCCATCTTCATCTTCATCTTCATCATCATCAGCATCAGCATCAGCATCAGCATCAGCATCATCAGCATCATCATCTTGGGCCCCGATTCTCTTTCGACCGGTCCGAAGGCAATGACCCAGACCTTCGAGGCCGCGACGGCCGGCCCCGCCGAGCTGCTGCGCATGGAGCTGCACGGCCCCCCCGCGGAGGTCGAGAAGCTGCGGCCGGCCCTGGAGCCGATGGGCTGCGCCTTCTACGCGCTGGAGCGCGGCTTCCGCGTCGAGGCCACTCGTTCGGCAGCAAACCAAGCCCCCTCGCGTCATGAGAACATCGGGAGGTTTTTCGCTATTTTCGTCCTCGGGGGACCCTCGCCGGGCCTCGGGACTGTTCAACAACGACTCAGGATGAACAACCGATCCAGGGGAGTGGGTCGAGACCTCTGGGGGCCGACGTCATGAACAAAATTATGACGCCGGGGGTCTGGGAAGCATCGAGGAGGAATCGGCGGGGAGCAATTGGGGGACGTGAGAAGGGGCGGGCCTTCTCTCAGATTGCTCGGAAGTCCCCTAGGCCGTCTGAGGAGTTTTCTATAAGCCATCTCAGCCGGCTGGAGGCCTTCTGTGAAGTCCCGTCGCCTTCTGAGAAGGCCTTCTCCT